ACACCTCAAGTCAGAGGAGGAAAAGCTGACACAAGTCGCCACGGAAAGGCAAGCCCGCAGAAAGCAAAGTGACAGCTTCAACAGACCAGAAACAGTAAACACATGCGACCTATTGTCACTCCCGCATCGGCCTCTAAAGTAACAGACGTCAACGCTCCAGCCAAGCAGACAACTTGGATGCTACCCATTATGAACCCTAGATCTAGAGACACCCTAGCTCCCTAGACACCAGTACATGATGAAACATGTATTTGGCCCCAGATCCACCAAGATTGCTCCTTTCAGGACAGAGGACGGGAATGATCTCCTCACAGGCATGGATGGCATAGTCAAGAGATGGAAGAAACACTTTGATGGGCTACTGAATAGGCCTTCAACTCTAGACCATGAGGCTCTCGAGTAGTGGTAGAACTTGACAGTCAACCATCGCTGAGCGAGGCCCTGCATAGCATGGAGGGACTCAACATGCGCAGAACTGTTAGGGTTGACAGCCTTGCTGCTGGGATATTCCGTTATCGTGGAACACATTTAAGTCAACTTATGTATGATCTTATTGTAAAGATTTGGATAGTGCCAAATGATTGGAGAGATGCAATAATCTTACCTATATATAAGGGTAAAGGTGCCTGGGAATTATGTGGTAATTATAGAACGATTGCTCTCCTTTCTTCGACAGGTAAGATCTTAGCCTCTGTTCTCTTCTTAAGATGAAACCAGAGAAGAGGTTGACAATATCCTGCCTGAGTCACAGTGTGGTTTCCACCAACACAGAGGGACCGTAGATATGATCTTCACAGCAAAACAAATCCAGAGAAAGAGCTAACAACAACAATTGGACCTTTATCACATATTTGTAAATCTAAGAAAGACTCTGTTAATCATGCTGCTCTTTGGAAAAACCTCTCAAAATTGGGTTGCCCTCCCCTTACTTTCTCAAGATTCAGTATGGAAGCCTGCGTCAGTTTTGACGGTATGCTTACGGAGCCCATAAAGTTTGAAAATAGAGTCAAGCAGGGAGATCTTCTGGTTCCTACACTGTTTTCTATCTACTTTGCAATTGTACTGCTTGATGCACGCAATTCAGCACGCACAGGGGTTCATGGATCGTCTCTCAGGGTCATGCAAGGCTTTTGGACTGTCCATCAGTCTTGACAAGACGGTGGTGATGTATCAACCTGCCCGAGGAATTCAGTATATAGAGCCATCAATTTATGTTGATGGTAGTCGACTTGGAGGTAGTAGACAAATTTCTATACCTTGGTAGCATCCTCAACCGCCACTGCTCACTTGATGATGAGATAGCGTTACGGATTAAGAAGGCCTCCGATGCATTTGCAGCACTCAAGTTCCGTGTCTGGAGTCCGAAGCGCACAAAAAGTAGACAAAAAATTAAAATATATAATGCCTGCGTCATGTCATCTCTGCTATATTCATGTGAGACATAGAAGTTTACAAAACTACCACCTCTGTTGAAAGAAGTGGTAGGTTTGTGAATAATTAATAGCCTACAAAGGTCAAATAAACACTTTTGAAACATTGTCAGAACCTCGTTGCACAAAAATGTTTCAGCACTTTAAGATTAACTCTTGTCTGTTTAAATCAATTCCGGCTGTCAATTCTATTTTTAAAATGCAATTATGATGCTTTCGAAAATTTCGTTATAGTCACTTATGTGCAAATAGCCTTGGGAAAAGGTATGAATCTACCGCTTATCCCCACCAGATATGGGTTAATTATTAAGACTTGTATCACTAAAAGACACTAAACAAAAGCAACCAACCAAGCGGATTGATATTGCATTTAATTTCAGCGTTCCTTTCCCTTATTTCTAACGAAATTTTCCTATTTATAATTAGTTAGATTCTTAAGTTTGATTCTGAAAGGCGTGTTTCGTTATTCTATCGGGCTTCCGTAATTCTGGTCATGCTATTGTCGGCACCCTTCTACAGCATAACATTTCTGTCGCTTCAAGTCTCCTCTTTGAGTAGATTTTCCAAAAGTCACTGCCATAAAAAGCATATTGATCGCATGTAACACTTAAGTACTCTTTATATATATATATATATATATATATATATATATATATATATATATATTATTTCTATCTTTTGGTCTAATCTTGGTTGATATAGATGTTATTATAGGTACATCATTTCGGTCTTGTACCCTCAAGATATGATCAGGTAACCATTGTTTTGGATAATATATGTTGACTATTTTACTCCCGTGATGCAAATTATTATTCATACCTGATGAAACTATGCTTCAAGATCTGATCCACGGATTGAACTCACTATCAGTAGATCAGTGTAACACGTGTCTAACCAGCTCCTATATCCCTCCGCGACTGTCCATATCGGCCAAAAACAATGGACGTCTCATCATGGCCAGAGGGTACTTGACAGAAACAATGTGTCTATAATAACATCTGTATCAACACACAAGAGATCAATAGCTTGAAATATTAAATTTATATTCGCAAAACATTCTTTTCTTTGTGTCACGGAAACATTCTGTTTCGTAAAACTTTATTCATTTTTTAGAAGGCATAGGTTGGTCAATACTTTTTTATTGGTAAAATATCGACTTGTATAATATAAACTGATAGATTCCACCCATCTCTCTCACTGACTCTTTCTCCGTCTATCTATCTATCTATCTATCTATATATATATACACACACACACACAGAGAGAGAGAGAGAGAGAGAGAGAGAGAGAGAGAGAGAGAGAGAGAGAGAGCCGTGCATTAATATTAACCAATCAGAACCTCTTATATTTCTGCCTGTGTCTGATATTATCTATAACAGGGAATATACTAACCGACTGCTACTTGTAAATTAATGTTTCTTTAACTTCCAGCAAGCAGTTGATGAGAAAATGGATGACGACGTTTTCTACGACAAACCTGCGAATTTTCGCGGAAGTTTCCCGCCCGACAATTAAGGATGAATGCTGAATTCCTCTTCATTTAAAAACGCACTCCGCATCAACTTCCTGTAACCGTCCGTTCTTTTCCCTCTAATGTTTGCCAACCAATTTCCATCCCTTGCCATACTTTCATTGATTTTACAATTTCCGTCTCTTTATGTAGATTTTTTTACTATTTTTCTATGCATCCAAAGTATTGTCGTTTATATGTTGGAAGCCGCTTATACAGTTAACATATTTCCAGATTAGTCCCCTAAAGTATACATGATCACGTAAATTTCTCCATTAAATACAGAAGATCATGCACATATGTAAGGTTACTATTATAGAATGTGGTCTATTATACTATTTATACTAACTATACACGATTCTAATTTCTCGCTGCCGTATTACAACCTTTTACTAAACGCTGGTTCATTTTCTATATATGATATTTAGCGCCCTTGTTGTAAAGCCACTTTTATTAGGAAGAAAATTTCAGAAACCCTTCATTAGTGTAAGGGGCCCAATCATTACTGGGTATGCCACTATTGTGACTTTTTCTTAATATAAAAATGGAAATATCCTGTTGCATTTAATAGGAAAGTCCGGCTATCCTAGCCATGACATTACAGATAATGCACTATGGTAAACGCGATTACCTCTGAATTATAACCAGTATGCACATAGTGCACTGTAGCTTTATGATGATCAATGTACTATGGCTATGCAAGAAATTGGTATGAACACCATCGTGACCCGGTTACAGACATATAACCTGTAACAATTCTATAGGATATCACAATGCATACAAGCAGAACAATCAAATCTAATCGCTCAAATACAGTAATCAAAGATTACAAAAATCAGAATGTGCTTTCTTATTGAAGTATCAGTTCCTGCAGATTGTAACGTAATATTAAAGTTTAAAATAAAAAATATCAAAATAAAATGATCTTATGGTGTAAATCTAAAGATGCAACCCATGATGATATCAATAATTTCAATAGAGGTTCGGACATGAGTTTGAATGGAAAAGGTTCTGTTAGACACATTGAAGGTAGAACATGCCTTAAAAAATACAAAAAAAATTTTCACAAGTGCAGTTCAACACCTTACAAAAGGTTTTATCTATGCTAAATGAGGGTGATTTCAGGTTGCATTATTTTTGCTTTTATTTTTCTACAAAAACGTTCAGTGGAAAATGTCATTTCTCACCTTTGATCTTTGGTTGGGACTCGGAAGAAAATGGGTATAAAACAGGAAATAATAATTTTTTTGTTCAAGAACATCCATAAATGGATTTAAGAAACATTGTAGTACGGTGGGATAAAAACATCACAAGGGTGGGAGGCAGGCGAAAATACAGAGGAACCATGATCGAGTGAGTTTCTTTGGAGTTCCTATTCTTCTGAAAACATCCCTGTTTATTATCTATCTATCTATCTATCTATCTATCTATCTATCTATCTATCTATCTATCTTTCTCTGTTCATTATCTATCTATCTATCTATCTGATATTTCCCGGAAAGGGATATATTTGAACGAAGTAGCTAAGTGGTTTTGGCTACTATAACAAAGTAGAATATGGTAGCAGTTATCGACTGGTACGCGTCGTAGTCGCAGGTTAGAAGTGTAGATCCATGGCGTAGTCCAATGGGCGTCGTTATAGACTTAACTCTCAGACTAAGGCTCTTGATTCTCCTACACGTCCGTCGATATTTACGACAAACATCAGCCAATCATATTCCAGTGCGGGGGAACACAGGTGTACGCATATTCCATTCCATTACTATCTATCTAATCTAAACTGCTCTCTATCTTTTATTACAATGATGTCCACCATGTAAAAGGGTAAGATAATGATTAACTCTAGACTTAAATTGGTTAAGATTGTTGTGATCGGGAAAATGTCCACTTTGGAGGCTGTTCCACAGAGCAGTAATTCGCGAGAGGAAGCTGCTCTAGTAGAATTTACTTCTCACTAAAGGAATACGGGGGAAATGAGAATGGTTCTCTACAATGCGCATAGCTATCTCCTTTTAATTAATTATAATTTCATTATTTATACGTAGTTTTAAAATCCCTTCATGTTGAGTAAATCATGATATATCAAATGAAAACTAATATTTTTTGTTGGTTATTTAAAGCCGAAACACATTTTGTATTTTTTTTAATGATTTCATCCCAAAGAAGGCAATGTATCCACTAAGATGCAAAAGGCTACTAAGAGTGAAAGTATTTGAAATGATTATTGAAAAGAGAGGTCAATGAATACACAGGTTTCAAAGAGACAGAAGATGACCACTGACACAGCATTTCAATTTTTGAAGATCAAATTTGGCTGAAATTGTAAGAAACCGGAAGAGGGTGCCATAAGCGAGAGACAAAATAGAAATACATATATCTAGCAATTTCAGCAGAAAAATGATGAGACCTATCTTCCAATCTAGTACTGCGGGCAGTCGAGATACCAAAGAGTAAATCTCATAAAAATAATTCCCAAAAAATATTTATACAAAAGGGACAACTAATCAACGTCACAGTGAGAATGTAACTGAAGCGTAGATATCAGATGAGAACATATAACATTGTCGATTCATCTTTGGATTTCCTCAAGAATCTCTAGATAAGTATTAGAAAAGGCTGGGGACATTTTTCAAAATATTGTAATAATAATTCATTTTTTGGGAAATAAAAATCATTTCTTTAGATACAAGTCCTGCTATTTAACCCATAGCTGTGAGGAGACGGATTCGTACCGATCGCAAAGACGGCATGTAACGACTACAACTTGAATTCGAACACGGCTCTGATTTCTTATTCCGAGCCCTTATCCATTACACCACCCACACATCCACATTGCCTGAAAGAAGCAGACACCCCCAAAAAAAACAAAACAAAAAAACAAAACAAAACAAATACCTGCCATTTTTGATCTGATTTAACTGTTCACCGAGACGATTATGAGAGGATTAGAAGTCCTTACCGGATTTATTATTAGCAACCACAATCTTAAGAGCATAAGATATGCAGATGAGGCAGTGTTGATAGCAGACACGGGGTATATCGTTGGTGCAACTAATTCATCTTTTGTCAGCATCTTTGTTATCCTCGAACTAGTTCTCCTATCACCATTTCATTGGGAGTTAACTACAATAGACATTTATAAAGTTATCTTTCTACTTGTACTTCTCTTTCCCTCCACTCTCATGCTCTTTACTCTTCTTTCTCTTCTTCATCTCCCTCAAATTCGGTTTGGTACTCTTCGTCCGTCTAATTTAACTTCTCTTTCATTGTTCGAATATAACAGATTTGTAGAAAACGTTTAGTAACGGCATCTTATCAGCGTCCTCAATTTATTATGTTTGAATCTCTGGACAAAAAGTCTTGTGGGGGGAAAGGCTTTTTAATTGTTTTTTTTACACGGGTCATAAGTTTTTTGGGTGCAGTTTGACTCCGCTTGATAATTACTCTTCTTTATCTTTTTTATTTTTTTTTTTTATCTCAGTTTGATATTTTCTCCTTTTTTTGGCTGTCTAGATTCCTTTTGTTTTCATCATTTTCGCTTCGTTAGGGATCTGTTATATGTTTCTCTTTTCTTTTCTTTTCTTTTCTTTCTTTCTTTCTTTCTTTCTTTCTTTCTTTCTCCGTTAACGTCTATTAATATTTTTGATTCTTTTTCCTTTCCTTCCTTCCTTCCTTCCTTCCTTCCTTCCTTCATTCCTTCCTTCCTTCCTTTCGCGCTATATTTTACTTTCTTTCTTTTGACTCTCGAAGTATTTTTTCCTGGTGTCTTATCCCTTTTCAAATATTTCCCCCTAATTCCCAAATGCCTATTGCTCTAAAGCCAAAATCGATTGTCACTTTTCACTGCACAAGAAACACAATACAACATTCCCATAAAACACAATTAATCTTACCTTTTTATCATGAATTTAAATATTTACACAAAACTGTAAAATTGCATCTCTTTTACAAGTGCAGTACAAATTGTAGCAAATTTTATTAATATTAAATTGAGGGGAAATAAAATAATGTAATATTTACTTTTTATAAATATTTACCACCCAACTTTATTTAATTATTGCTTTTTTTATTGATTCTTTTTCTATGGCATATCAACATTTTGCAGGTTACTTAAAGCTAGAATATATATTTGGAAGTTTCTGTTTTGTAAAAGGTAATAATGTTTTAGTGATACATGTTTTACTAATTAATCCATAACTGGGGAGAAGCGGTGAATTTATTGTTTTCCAGATGATGTTTGCGTATAAGTGAATAAAACGAAACCCAATGAGAATTGAAACTCAGCTCTGCGATTAACAATTCCGAACCATTACACATTGCACCATCCGCACATCCAAGCTTACAGCACCTAGTATTCACAAGCGGTCACCCATCTAATTACTGGCCAAGCTCAACGTTGCTAAACTTCTGTAATCGAATGGGAACTATTGTTTCAACGTAATGCGGCCGTAAATCCTTAAACACTGCCTTTAAACGACTCGTGTTTGATGTTTGTCAATGGAAGTTAAGTGTTAGCAAGTTTACTCAATACTCCAAGACATTACTCAGTCTTTATAAGTTTCCGTAGCAGTAGCGGTTCCGTTTGAGAAACAATTCTTGTTATTAAACAAGATTGTTGCCCAAAATTCTTGCTTTTCTTTGACACTAACCGGTTTATCAATATTTATTTTAGGCTTTCTCATTTTCCTGTTAGAATTGCCTATTCTCCTTTTTTCAGCTTATTCTAAAGCATGTTGTTGTTTCAAAGCGTTTAATGTCAAAAGCGTTAGTTTTTTATTTTTTGCCTGATGATATCAATTATGCTATTGAATTCATTCATTATTTTTTTATTGAGTATTTTATTTTAAGTGATTTGATTTCATAACATTTACCGTATTCATGTTTTTCTAGAAGTTAAGTATCAGAGCATAGTTCTTTTATCTTTTTGTTGATCTTTCCTTTCTTCCACCTTCAAAACAGCATAGACGGACGGCCACACTATAGTTGCTGCATATAGAAATCCATTTACTGAATTTAGATCTAGTTCATTTTCATTGAGAATGGATTGTATTACGATTTTATGGTTACAATTATTCCACATGGGTTTCACTAGCGTATTTTGAGGAAAGCAAGGCGTTCACTCATGTGTTTCATGTTAAGCCACTCTTGCAGGAGTTGAACTTTAATTTGTTCAAATTCTACCTGGGTAATTCCATTAAATAATTCGCTCTCTAGTTGAGTCATTTTTATATTATCGATTATTACTTTATTTCGCCATCTTTACGCTGGGTAACTGTTACATCATTATATGGGTTGTTTTAAGCGCCTGGCTTAGCCCCAGATATCAGAAGGGAATCTAACCTTTGGTCTATTTGCCTAGTTTGCTTTACTAATTGAATTTCAGTATCGGCCAGTAGCTTAAGCCTTATGATAATCCGACGAGCAATTTGCCAGTTTATTTGCATCTATTTACATTTTTCTCTTTAAATTAATATGTTCGTTCTGTATTTGATGTTATGACAGTATAACAAACTTCTATCACATGTTTGTTGCATTCTCTTATCTCTTTTGCCACTGAGGTCTCATTCTGTGGCTGATGCAGCGCATTGAGGATAATCATTAGAAGTTATCCTGTCAGTTGTAGGGTTCAGTCTCTTTTCAGGGTGACTTTTCCTTCTAGATGGTTGTCTTAAAAGCGCCTTTCTACTTTTTCGACGGGAGAAGCCTCGTATTATTATAATTATTATTATTATTACATGCGATATTTTTATTTTCTCCGTTTCTGATAGAGAATCTCACTAAGTGGATACCGTTAGAGAAATTAGGTTAGCCATATAACTAGGACTGGAGTAACACTGAGTGATTTTGTAAAGTCTTTACTAGGGACCACACATAAAACGCGATACCTAAGTCGTAATGGAATTCTCTTTGTTAAAAAAAATCTTCAAAAGATAAAATATACTTTTCTGAAACTTTATTTGAGGAATATTAGATGATTTAAAGTTTAATTAATCTGATATGAAACAAATATTATTTACTTTAAGTTATAAATATTGCAGAAATGCATTTTTTTCACCCGATATTAGGCGTGTATTAACCCGGAAGTAGCTGTTTTAACGTGATGACAGCCTGATGATAATTTGACACTATTTAGGGTTGCGTGAAAAAAGAAAAAAAGGCGAGAATTAAATTAGGTGATAAGAATCTATCATGAAAAGCCACCGAGCGATGTTATTTTCTTCTAACAAGGAAAGGTGGTAAAGATTTTATTCTCATTAGCGAAGAAAGTAAGATACCGGATTTATGTTACGGGACGGCGAATAAGATATAGCCATCTGCCCATGGCAATAAGGAAAGTTTCAAATTGGCCGAGTGGTCTATGGGACAGAATACTAAGAGATAAAAATTAATTAGATCATGCACTGACCGAAAAACAAAATGTCCGTTGGACCACCCAAGTTACAAAGAAAGAAAGACTGAGCCATCAGCTATCTACGGAGATGTCGTTTGGAAAAGGCATCTGTTTCATGTCAAGGGCTGGCCATGAAAAAAAAAAAAACAACAAAAAAAACTATTTTATCGGAACAGTTAATTAGCGACAGAATGCAAAGTTGCCAGATGACCACCCACTTGATGCTGGCGAAAATCTGATTGACGAACTCCAGGTGACGTTCGGTTAGGATAAGAGTCATTAGGGTTTGTTGCCGGGAAGAAGAGAGAGAAAGAAAAGAAAAAAAAGGAAAGAAGATAATAATTTTTTATTTCTTTGAGCGATAATTAGCAAACACCCATGCCGCTGAGCGTCCATTGGCTGAATGGTGGCGTGAGCGGTAGGCGAAGGTAATGATGTGAAGAAGGAGGGGAGGCCTGTTGACGCCCCCTGAAGGGATCGGTGTGAGATGCCACTGTGAGAGTGAGGGGAAACCTGTTGACGCCTCTGAAGGGATTGGGTGAGATACCCATATGAAAAAGGAAGAATTTGGGAGGACGATTCCCTTAAACAAAGAAAATTCTTAATGCGGATTTAGAATTATCAAGGATCCTCAAACCCCGACAGGCACACCCCGGTTTTGGTCGGCGTCCATATAAGCAGAGTCGCAGCGAGTGGACGGCATTTGGAGTTGAGTTGAGTTTGCAGTTGAGTTGAATTGGAGTTGCAGTTAGCAGTTCAGCTGTGAGCTCTGAAGACCCGCCTCGCAGAAAGCTGACTTAAGATCCACACATTCTCGACCTCAACTTCTAACCAAGAACACTTTATTTTTGAAGAACGACTTAGACTCACACCACCAAAACAAGTTTTACGAATATCGCCTGAAGATACACTAAAACCAGTTTCTTAAAAGAACAATTTAAGATGTTAAGACTCGCCTAACAAACACAAAGTGTCACGAATCCATACTAGCGGTTTGGGAGAAAGACGCAGTCTTGTATTCAGAAACCAGATATAAAATATTGTTATTCCTTTTTAACACATTTGAACTTTTCGAGTTATTACTTTATTTTCTTTTACATATACTTGTGCGGTATTACCCTTGTTCGGACTCGACTTGCATTACGGCCCGGCGACTGATAGATTTCGTTTACCTAAGATCAAATCACAACGTGGGTAGGTTAGACTAGAGGTCAAAACAGTTACTTCGGTAACCAGACATTGGAGGCGAGCTGGGAACGACAAGGCTGATACCGAATCGAATCAGAAAAAGGTTAGAACGTCACATTTGGTGCTGCGACCAATACCAAGTCACATTGGTCGTCACAGGACAGGATAGGTCTCCCTTGTCGATCTCAATTTGCCAGTAGCCGCTGCGTAGATCGAGGGTAGTGAAATATCTATTGCCTTCGCCGATTTTGTTGAACAAGTGGTCGATCCTTGGCATTGGGTAAGGGTCAAAATCGACTAAGACCTTGTTGAGAGTTCTTTTGAAGTTAGCGACGACGCGAATCGATCCGTTTCTCTTGCGTACGGCAAATACAGTGCTATTGAAGCCTTTGGGGTCGCTGCAGTTTTCAATGATACCTTCATCGGCCATGCGCTTGATTTCGGTATCAACGTCTGCTTCCAAAGCCTGAGCGATCGAGTGTTGTTTCTGGCTGCGAGACTGGCCGTTGGTTGGTATGCGGATGGGTCGGATGAATGTGCCTTTGCTGCTGCTTTCTGTGCCGATAATGTCAGCGTAGCGAATGAGTAAGTTTGCAGTGGCCTCTAGTTCGTCTCGGTTCGGTTGGTTTGGTAGCGATAGCCCCGTGTTATGCTTCAGCAAGGTTAGCTTTTGATCCAGTGTCTGGATGTTGGGCTGTAGTTCCGTAGTAGGCTGGTTTTGGATGACGTCAGCTTGGGCGCTATATGCTGGATCGTTGGTTGACGATGAAGGTGATAAATTTCCGGCTGTGTGTGTTGTGTATCCTGAGGAAAGTGTGCGTCTGAATTCTATAGTCGCATTTTGGTTGTCGATTAGATAGGAATCGAGCGTGTTGTGACATAGGATATTTTGGCCGATCAGGATCGGTGTGGTTTGGGTAGTTACCAGCACGTTAACCTTTTTGAATGTGGGTGAGTCTCGACTGCCGATGGTGATGTCGCAAGTCAGTTTGCCAAGGGCGGTGGTGCTGCCGTTGATTCCTTTTACTACGACGTCGGAGCGGGTCATGTGTTTCTTGGCTTCTCTGGGTAACTGAGATATTGGTAAGATGCCGGTTGGGCATCCAGAGTCTAGCATTGCGACGCCAGAGAAGGTGATGTCCCTGAAGTTGAAGGTGGACTGGACGAGCGGTGAATGGTGAGCGAGTCCTTGAAAGTTGAAGGTGTGATGGCTGACGTAGGGGCATGGCGAACGAGGCATAGTTCATACGCCGGCTGAAGATCTGGGTTGATCTCTCATAGTAGTTCTCGCTGGTTGCGTGGCGCTACTGCTGCTGGCTGCTGCTGACCGCTCATCCTGACCGTGACAGGTCTCTTCGCTGGCCTCCTGTTGACTGCTGTTGTACTTCCGTGTGACCCCTTTTATGGCGTTTTTTTATGGCTTAACAGGCTCGAAAAACGACGCGAGTATAATTAGGAGGGAAGCATTTTTATTAGTCGAAAAATAGAAACATTTTAAATTATTATTTTTTCGACCGGAACCTGTGCGTCGGGAACATGCGTAAACGAAGATAATGGTCATTTTGTGACGGGGCCTTGTCCCGTTCACATTCGGCTCTCGCTCTTGAGTACGTTAATTTATTTACCTTTAAATCAGCCGAGATATATCTTATTTTATTTTATAACATAGCTGAATAACCCAAAGGGTGATTCTTCTTACAAATGGTGTCAAGAACGTCTTATCTGAAAACCTGGAAAAAACAGAAACTCAATGAGTTTAGTGCTTTTTTTGTAGGATGGATATATATGCTATAACACCATTTAGACAACTTTGCTGTTACACCCGGTAAATATATAATATTTTAAAAAATGTAAATCATGAAAAATTATCTTTATAAGACAGGTGGCGTGACAGGACATTCAGAAGACGACAAAACAATGTCCCCCTCCCATGCCAGCTGAACTCTTGCTGCCCAATGTCACTGAGTAAAAAGAGTAGAGGAAGGCAGCAAAATAAACAAGTTGCCAACTAGGAATTATGAGTATTTTAAATAATTTGGGGTATCAAAACACCCCATGTAACTAACGCAGGATTAGCATTAGTATTATTAGTATACCGTGCATATATTGTAGATATGCTGAAGAATAAATGAAAGCAAACTTCCTACAATTGAACTTTGTAAAGTTAGTCCATTATATTTCTCAGGATGTACATGATATTAAGTAGTTAAGTAGACACTGTTAACAGCTGAAATTGATTTTTTTTTCAATTCTTTGCTACCCTGAAGAAAATCATTTCCTCAAAATACTAAGCCTCGTCGCTAAATCAGAAATCCAATGAAGAATGAAGTATTTATTTTACATTGTAATATTTCCATTACATTCCATTGTAATATTTTGTTTCATAGATTTTAATTCTACAGGGGTGGGGTGCAAAAGTAGGTATATAGTAATTATTATACTATAGTAGTTATTCTAGGTTTCATTTATTACGAGAATTCAATTCATTCATTAAAATTATTTTTAATATTTTTATTTTCATAATTTTATTATAATATATTTATTATAATTTTTATTTTTTTATGAGTAATAATAATAAATGTTTTGTAATTAAAGAGAAGTGTGTGAATGACGTGGGCAGTTTGAATATTTGAGGAAATTGATATGTTTATTATTGAAATGTTTATTATTAATATGTTTATTATTGAAATCTTTATTATTGATATGTTTATTATTGAAATCTTTAATTGAAATCTTTAATATTGATATGTTTATTATTGAAATGTTTGTGTAACCAATACAATACGTTTCCCGAGATCTCTGTCTAATTGCTTCGTCAGCTCAAATGGCTTCCATATGATACTTCTTTTCCTTTTTTTTTTTTTACTTGTGGGACGTGTGACCGTCAACTGGCGACAAAATATATCGTATATAAGAAAGTTTAGAGCTCTTTCTTTCTTTCTTTCTTTCTTTCTTTCTTTCTTTCTTTCTTTCTTTCTTTTTAATCCTCGACCTGAAATTCTTCTTCATTTTACATATACAGAACCAAAATATAATTCGGCTTTAAATAACCAGAGAAGGTTTGACCAAGCAATCAATGATTCTTACTGCTACTAATGTGAGCTTCCGTTCATCTGGCAACATGAAATGCATTCACTTATTACCAGAACAACAGAAAATCCCATTAGTAATTTGGGAGTTCAGGCTGCCTGAATAATAAATATAGTGTCAAATTGACCTTTATATTATCGAATGGATCATGGTCAATCACAAGAAAAAGTGCGACAGTAAGCGGGTATAGTGTTTTGCAACAAAATGTATTAGATATTTCAGGAAATTTCTGATATATGTAAAATCTGTAAAAGGATTCTAAAAATATACAATTTTTTTCCGAAGTTTTTCAAGTGTAGGTTCGTTATTTTGTCTTTAAGAAACAAAATTGGACCCTTTGAAATTTTTAGCGCCGAAACAAAGGCCAATACTCTATCTCGATGAGCCACAGCTTTTAAGGGAAACATTGATTTGTTTAAGAAATGATTTACTTCTTGTTCTGTAATAGTAACGAAGACATTTTATCGCACTGATTGGAACTGATCAGCCGCATCTTATAGAATAGGATTTATTTTCGATTTCCCGTCCCATCAAATGAAGAGATGTTTGCCGAAGCAAAATGAAACAGTTTCCTTTCCATTATTTATAAAGTTACGCGCTTTCCAGTTAAATGTCGAATTCCTAATTTCAATGCAACTTGAGGTTCTTTCCTTGCACCTTTCCTTTGACTAACTTTTACACTTCCTGCTAAAATCGGAAAGTTCCCGGAATTTTGGAAGATGTGAAATCATGAGAAATTGTGCTATTGTATTATTTGGTTTGAATTCGTAAATTAAGCAAATGTTAATTACAACAATTATTAAATATCAAATCTGAGTACATCATGTTTATTTACTGACATCATTCTTCTGCGTCTATCATTCTATTGCAGTTTAAATCTATCTATCATGGTTTATCAATATCTATCTATCTATCTATCTATCTATCTATCTATCTATCTATCTATCTATCTATCTATCATGGTTTATCAATATCTATCTATCTATCTATCTATCTATCTATCTATCTATCTATCTAACATGGTTTATCAATATCTATCTATCTATCTATCTATCTATCTATCTATCTATCTATCTAACATAGTTTATCAATATCTATCTATCTATCTATCTAACATGGTTTATCAATATCTATCTATCTATCTATCTATCTATCTATCTATCTATCTATCTATCTAACATAGTTTATCAATATCTATCTATCTATCTATCTATCTATCTATCTATCTATCTATCTATCATGGTTTATCAATATCTATCTATCTATCTATCTATCTATCTATCTATCTCGATCTTGCCCTGTCTATTAGTCTAATGATATCTTATCTGTTATGTTTTATCACTATCTCACGTGACCTTACCTGAAGGATAATCTATTAGTATTTGGGGGAAAAAAGCATTGTTATACTTTAATCAATTCATTCGAATTCATTCGATACTTATTCACAACCTGTAATCTTTAAATTCCTTGTAATTTAAACAGAACGGCTAATTCCATCTTGTAAGTTACCCTTTCAATTTCTTGGCACCGAGTAAAGTCTCGAATGTATTCTGTTGCGAAACCATTCCGAGCATTTCATTATCCGAACGTGTTATCGTCTCATTCTAGAAAAATAACGATTTATCATCGGAAAGAAATCGCTTCAAATCTGGTTATTTCCCCACAACAATGAGAAAATTCCAAAGAATCCCAGATCGTCAAAAGCGAATATCGTTTACGAACACACCAGATGTATTGACTGGCCTGAAATATTTTGATGACTATTAACCTTATATTACAAAAATAAAAGATTAAACTATGAAGAATAAGTAGATGACTTTGTGATACGACAATATTTCTAAAGCGAGAATTTTTTGTTTTGCTCGAACAGCAAACTCAGAGGAGCTTCAGATATCACAGGAAAACTCTAAACATGTATTCTAATTGAGATCTAAGGAATTTCCCAGATGGTGACTACTAAAAATACGCATAATTTCCTTCGTCTGCTCGTTGTCAGTATCTTCTCATCCTCTTCATTTTCGCTTCTAGTCTTTGGAAATTTCCCTATCCAGATCTGCTAAGACGTGTCTGAGTATACTGGGCCAATTCATATTAAAGTAAATATGCCTATCTACAGACACCAGTTTGTAGACGGCCACATAGTACAGAATCACCCAAGGTTGACACATTCTACGGTTAACAGTGTCAAACTGTATGGCGTCTACAGCAGACATAGGAGACAGATGGAACATTCGACACTGTTAGAAAATCGCCCTCCTATTTATTTACCTGTATCTACTAATTCTCTTCCTTTTCAATTCCAATTTTTCCATTTTTTTTATTTTTATTTTCTAATACGTTTTCCTTTAGGTCGTAGGCGATCTTGGCTCTCCAAAGTCCATTATTATTTGCGAATTGCCTTGCATCCTTGGGAAAAATTATAGAATATCTACGGTTTTGAATTTAAAATCTTAGAATTTACGACTTGTAGCCACCTACGGATAGGTAATCTTGTATACTCTGCATTTGTGCGAAAGTGAAAGTGAAAGTAGACGTAAAAGCCTCCGTTGAAATTGGAACTCAGTTCGCAGATTCCACCTTTCGAGTTGATATCCACTATATTATCTATACCTTTAATATACTGTGTAGTCGTTAATAAAATTGTCTTTCTTTTCTTCTATCTCCACATGAAAAAAGTATTATGACGCATCACAATTTTATGTTTTTTCCTCTTAGACTGGGAAGCGTTTTAACAGAAAATAAATAATGCGATACTGAGATTCATTGAACTAGCTATAGAGGCTTTGGTTTGGATTGGTTTGGTTTATTTTACGGCATATCAGCCTCAATAGGTTATTTAATGCCGACAAAATGTTTTATTGCTGGTAATGTTTTTCTTCAAAAATTTCTGGGAATATTTTTCCTTGGAAAAATCTATAGCTGGGCATATTTTTTTCAAAGGATGTATAGTTTTTTGTATTTTTGGTACATTTTTTCTTTTTAAAGTATTGCTGATAATTTTTCATTCAAAATAATATTTTTTTATCACACAGTATTTCTCGTATTAAAACCTATTTTTACACAAGTTTGGATGTTTAACTATTTACCCATAGCTGGGGCCCTAGGAGATGCTACCACCCCGGGTTAGAGTGGACCTGGGAACACCAGCAATTCAGAGGAGGTTCCACGCTCCTCAAAATCTCCTGATCAAAGGCCTTGCTGTTAGACGTAGTTTATCGTCTTACCCAGGACGCGGATGTAGTTTATCGTCATACCCAGGACGCAGCTAAAGAGGCATTTCAAAAGCTAAGCAAGCTGCTGGGAAACGGTAAAATTCTTTCGAAACAAAGAAAAAAGTGCTGGATATCCGTCCCCTTATGAAGCAGCATATATTGGACGATCTCCCCACAGATGTGAAAAAAACTAGAGGCATCAAAAATGAGGTTATATAGAAGAATACTGACAGTTCCAAAAAGACTTAAATGACAGGGAAAAAAATCTTATACTAAGAATCAGGAAAACACAGCTGAAATTCCTTGGTCACATAATGAGGAAGGAGAATATTGAAGACGTGAAAATGCTTCCACACGTCACTGTAGAAGCTGTGATGACATCTAAAGCTCGGCACATGCATATATACATCCGATCACGGGATTGTCTCCTTCGTCATCATTGAATTCAACAAGGAATAATGAAAAAAGAGTTTTCAAGATACTGATTAGGAAATAGCAAAAATTCGATTTCTCACGTAATCGGCAATTTCTTCGTTCGGCTTCAAGAAAATGAACTGCTTAGTAACTAACTTCCGGCCACTGAAAATGGACCTGACATTCACTGCCTGTGGTTTCGGCGACTGCCGACTTCCTGACTGGCTAGGGTACTACCAGCCCTATTCAGCCAGTTTGTCAAAGGACTCTACTTTTATCTAAAATCACTAAAAAAAATTATGTTTGCCAATTCAAAGGCAGGCTGAAGGCAGGATTCCTAAAAACACTGGTTATTAAATTGACTCAAAGACTGACTGGTGAGCAGATTTCTAAGAAAATCTGGTAATTAAGTTGACATAAAAGGAAAAAGAGTCCTTGAGGACACATGGCACAGTGGATAAAGGCGTTAGTTGGAACTAGGACAGTCTACCCCAGGGAGAGAAATAAAGGGTTTAGTTCGACATTACAACCACTTGAAGATGGCCGGAGTGTACAACGACCGAAACGTTGTAATAAATATGGCGACAAAGATGAGGGCAATATAATACCACATCTCAGAAATATATATATATATATATGTGTGTGTGTGTGTGTGTGGTTTCTATGGAACTAGTGGATTTTATTTATAATCGTACACTATTTCCTATTACTTTTTTAACCATTTCACCCCAAGAAAGGCAATAAACCCACTAAAACGCAAGGGGTTATTGAGTGTTAGAGACCATAGCGAAAAAGTAATATTAATTATAGAGAATAATAAAAGAATGAAGAAGACAAAAGATAACGATTGACATTGCAATTAATGTTTGAAGATCAAAGTTGTCTGGGAAACAAGAAGCCGACAGAGATTTCCACAGGCGAGAAGTGTGATAGAAGAAACTGTTACGTTTATATATATTCATTTCAAGCGCGAATTGATGAGACATTTCTGCTAATCTATTACTACACTTAAATTCTTAAAATCAAAGTAACATAGATGAACGTTAATCGAACAATTACCATGAAAATATTTATAGATAAGGCAAAATGAAGCTACATTACGCCAGTAGGAAAGGGACTGAAGCCGAGATGCCAGGTCAGCAACAGTGATATTGCCGATTTTTCTTTGGACTTTATCAAGAATCTCTAAATATATAGCAGGGGTACCAGCCCAGATAAGGCAGCAATACTTAAAGCAATATCGAATAGTAGACTTATAAATATGCACGATAGATTCTAGCGAGATAACTTGTCTAGCATGACACAGTAAAACAACGGACCTAACAATTAATTCAATACATCTTTACACTTCATGTAAGTGGAAAACGTTTGTCCCCAAAAAAGACGTAATGAGTCAGTCTCCTGGATGTTAAGATCTGCCATCTCGATGAAAGGCAAAAATGGTTCTCTTAGACTCGTAAAAGAGTGCCGTTTCATTTTGGAGGCGTTAAAAATAACAGACCATTTCTTATCACAGTTAACAACAGAATGTAGATACTTTTTTTTTTAGTTCATCTGCCAATTTTACCTCATCGAATCACTAAGCTTTACTATAGACCTTATACTCAGTGAATACTAATAATCTTATAAATATAAGCAGCTATACTCGTCCGGAAAAACTTTGAACAAATCAATACCCAAACGAAAAAAAGGGTAAAAAAAGAAAGAACTAAGAAGATGTACTTCCGGTGAAAATAATCGTCTAGAATTAAAGTTCAGAGTCCAGAGAAAAAAACTTCCGGTACGAGTAAAGTAAAAATAACTAAGCAAAGTGCTCAATACGCTAAGTAGAGCAAACTAAGTAAACCTAAAGTAAGTAAGTTTTTCTGGCTCTTTAGGCTTACTTTATATATATATATATATATATATATATATATATATATATATATATATATATATATATATATATATATATATATAAACAAAACAAAACAGAAAGCTGTTTTTTTGTTTTTTTACTTATCGACCAGGTTCACTAGATACTAAAATTTACGTTTAAAATTTTATTCCGGTCTTTTTGAACTGGTACAAAGAAATCAGTTTAATTCCTTGTAAAACTTCAAAAGACAGAATTTTACTGAAAAAAGTAAAAGTTCTAAGAAAATCGAGACATCTTCAGAAAAATGGCAGAAGTTTTGTACACACACACACACACACACATACACACACATATATATTCAATAATGATAATGACGAAAATAAAACGATCGTCAATTTTACTTAATGAACCGAAAGAAGTTCCTAAGTCTGTACAACGTTCAATAAAAATAATATCGGAAAAAAAGATGTTTTATTTTTACTTAATAAACCTAAGGAATATTAGAACCAAATCAATATGGTGTTTAATAAAATTAACACAAAAAAAATATGTCTGTCAGTTTTTACTTAAGAAAGCGAAAGAACTTTCAATATGAAATTCAATAAACTTAATTTCAAAAATAAAAACGATTTCTTAACATTTTTACTTAATGAAACGAAAGTACTTTCTAACTAACGCTTTATGATATTCAATAAAATTAATGCCGAAAGTAATAAAGATTTTCTTTTATTTTTACGTAATAAAAAGAAAAATCTTATTCTAGCGCATACAGTATGTTCAATAAATTTAATCTCGAAAATAAAATATTATTTTGCTTTTACTTAATAAAA